CAAACCACTACACCGCAAACCCTTCTTGCAATTGGAATTGATTCAACAAACAAGGAAGAAATAGAGCACTAAAACAAATAACAATCAATCAAGCTAACTCCACCCAATGCATCAATAGTCCTATGCTGAAGCAAATCTCACCTAATAAGCCAGGTTCCAGAAGCTTGAAAGCTAAACCAAATTTAATTCATTCACTAACCACAAACAAACTCCCTGGCTCACACAACACCTCACTACTCAACTCACCAAATCCATAAAACAGAAAAAGGAAAAGGAAATTAAAAGTCTTGCTGATAATTCACCAGAGGAAACAAATTGAAGCTTCCAATATTACAATTTTCTAGCAACAAAAGCAGTTAAACAGGTAGATAGATCCACAAAACTAGCCAACATATCATTTCAAGAAACTTAATAAATCTATACATCAAAAAATAGCACAACCCCAACAATCAAAATTCAATCTTTCCTCAATCAAACCAATAAAGGGGTCCAAAAGTTTAGGTAGAAAGAGAACAAACCTGATGGATTGGAGGGTACATAGAATTTGTACAAACAGGGCATTCAAGAAGCTCATGAACACTTGTTGTAGAATGAATTGCAGCAATCCCATCATTATTGCTGCTGCTATTGTTAATATTGTTGTTGTTGGATGTCTTTGAAGATGAATATTGAGAATGAATAATATGTGGGTGATGTAAAGGGATCTCATCATCATCTATCATACCATCTGAAGATGATACACATTCAATGCTATCCAACTCCATTCTTGACACAAAAAGATCAATTCTTTATTCAGTAAAATCAAGAATGTATGATTTTTTTTATTTTTTTTTTCAAATTCAACACTCTCTGTGTTCAGATGTGATGAATTTCTGGGTTTTTGAGGGAATTTGTTGATGGGTTTCCATCAATCTTCATTTTCTTTTTCAAATCATTGTTTTTGATTCAGAGATTGAAGAGACAAGAGAAGAGAGACAGAAACCTTTAAGCTTCTGCTTGGAGGAAAGAATGGTGCTTTTTTCCACTTTAATTGTTTGCTTTCCTATTTTTGTTTGCTTTAAAACATTATGGATATTTATTCTATTTTGCCTTAATACATAAATATCCTCATAAATTTTAATTTCCACATTTCATTTGCTATATTTCCATTGAGCACATAAACATTTGATAAATTATTTCTATTTACACTTTTTATTCTATTGTATTGCTTATGTTATTTAATAAATAATAATGAAAAATTTCTTTTTTATATAATGATTAATTTGATTACATTATTATCTAAACTAATTATTGGCGAATCTATTTAAACTTTAAGAGTTCATTTGAAACCTCTGAATTGAAAAATTATATTATGCTAGGATCAAAATTATATTTTATGTCTATATATTTAATATTGAACCTTGTCAATTTAAGTAAAAAATTTTGTTCAACACCTATGAGATTTAGAAATTAGTAGATGCACAAGTTTGAATCTGACTAGCAATATTTTTTAATGTTAAAGTTGAAATATAGTACAACACTATTTAGCATGTTTTCTTTTAACCTCCTCAATGAAAATCTTGATTATGTCATTGTTCATAAATTATGTCATTGTATTTTTTGAATACGATAGGATATATTATGAAACAAAACTAACAACCATCTAAACAAGATATAGACATTTTTTTATTAAAATCTTAATAAATTTCAAGCATTTATTAAATAGTAAATTAACCTCATAACATACCTAGTCTCTCTTAATTATTGCATGAGTATCAATTGGAAGATATAATACATAAGCATAACTCTCAACTTGATATCAGTTGATAATTATGACGTTTAATTTTGGATGTGCACAATTAGACACTTAAACTGATATAAATTTGAGTAAATAGGCATATTCTTTGTACGTGACACCCTCCATGAATATTTTATCTCCTATGTGACCTCCTACGTGTATCAATATTACGATTCACTAAAACAAATACACATAATTAAAGAAGGTAACATATATATAAGTGGTTAATTTTATTTATATAGTAGACACTTAACACATGCTAAAAAATAATCAAAATTTAAATTAAAAATATCTAATAAAAATAATTAAATCATAATTCAAGTATCTAAACAAAATTTATTGAAAATTTTCACATTAAGTCAGTTTATTTTGTTTGAGGAAGTACATCATAATAAAGAATGGTGAGTTGGTTAAAGAGGATTGTTCAATTTCAATTAAAACAGAAATTAAGATTTTTCTTTAAGTTGAAAGAGACTTTTTTCTTTGATTAGTGAACAATGATATTTCACATTTAAAATCAAAAAAATAAAAATCTTAAACTTTGTGAATTCAAGTAAAATTCCCCTAAATATAAAATATAAAATTATATTTAAATTTATTAGTAATAATAATAATTTTTTATTTAAATTTATTTCAATTGAGGATTTGAATATATGACGATATGTATTTGTTAGACATACTTAATTTAAATATTGAGAAAATATTTACATATATTCTCAAGTATTTATTATATAAAATAAAATAATATTTAAAATACATCACATTCTTTAATTATATACATTGATCTCATATAAGTTGTAGAACCCTCGTTATGATAATCTAACATAAATCTGTTATCTTGTATACATATGCTATATTGAAACTAACTCTAATTTCAATTAAACTCAATATAACTCGATTTTACAAAGATTGAATTTAGATCAATGAAACCAAATCAATCAAAATCGATGATATCTCCATTTCACTGACCAACTTGGTCCTCAGACTAGTCAAATTGTAATTTTATTGAATCGATTCGATTCGATCCGATCCGATTCCGACCCGAACCATACAATCATTACCTTCCCACTAAACAGGAAGGCATCATTATTGCCTCATTTTGGACACCACGAATCAAAATGCGACACGTCACCACACATTTTCCTTCTTCTTTTTTTCGAACTGCTGCTCACGTTCTATGGCCAACCTCAACAATTTTCACTTATGTCACTATTATAAATAAATAAATAAATTATATTCTATATTTATATTAAATAAACAAATAAATATAATACACATATTTATTTATTTATATTTAATTATTAAGTATTGTGTGTTAATTGATATTCATTAAGTATATACTATTTCGTTTTATTTTACATAAAAGTGTTTATTTGAACACAAAATTTGTATAAGAAATATTTTTGACAAACTTCACTTATATGTAAATTAATAACTAAAAGTCTATGATAAAAAGATAATTAAGTAGTGTAAAATTTCACATGTTTTTTTTGTCCTAGCGGAAAAAAAAGAACATTTCAACTAAGTGAATTCGCAAAAATAATAATATTCACGATATATTTATATATGATTAAATAGTTTTCATGAATTTTTTCTTTTGAGTCAATATTCAATTGGATTTTAATTAGTCTGTCCAAATAATTTCAAAATTAATAGTCAGTCCCGTCTATATTTTTCAACTTGGAGTTTTAAATTAAAAGAGACCTTCGAGTCTTCTTTTTAAATAAAGGAAAAGAATTCGAGTTTTAATTAATATTAGGTAGAATAGACTATTTAAAATATTAATATTAAATAACACATAGTTTAAAATCTCAAATTATTTAATAAAGTAACTTTTTAAGACAATAATTACTCGTGGAGTAATAGTATGATAGAAAAATTAAGATTTAAGATTATTTGAAAAGTAGTAATGATTTTTTTACATAATTATTAAAATTTGAATATCTACTCACAATTTTTTTTAAAAATAATTTTCTCAAACGCATTTAATTGTGAAAGACTTAGTCAATATGCCTTTCACTTTGTAGTGTATTCCAAGTAATACTTTTTAGCTTAAATTCTGCCTCTGACATTTTATTCTATCGTAAAATCAAGAGTATTGACTTGTTTTTATTAGAAAATGTCAAAACGTAAAATAAAAATAACAAGTAAATAGACGGCCAAGATGGGGACTTATTCAAATAATAATAATGACAAAAAAAGAATTAGAAAACAAGCAATTTAAGTGTAGATTCCATCTCCAAAAAAATGATTTTTCTTTTATTAGTATCTATAACGATGTAAATAATTTTAGTAAAGATGAAGAGTAGGTAATAATTTTTTTTTAAAAAAGTAGAAGAAATGATGTAATCAGATCTACATTGAAGAGCGAATCTAATATAATATAGATCTTTCCAAGAACCAACTATAATCATCTCGGAAGCACTTTCAATACAAAAAGTAGTGTAGCAACGTGAATAAATATATTGACCTTAAATATACCACGTACTTTTTCGACGGAAAGGACCCCTTGCACTCCTTATCCTCTCAAGACCAAGTCTCTTTCTTTTCTTTCCATCAGATTATACACACTACTTAAAATACAGATGATGAATCCTACACCTACCAACCATAATTGTCATAGAAAAGGATGCAAAAAAAGAGTCATAAAGCAACATCAATGAATCATAGATGTAACGAACAATAACATACTCACTGAAATCCTACAAGTGGATTTTAAGAAGGGTAGAGTGTATGCAGACGTTACTCCTTACCTCGTGGAGGTAGAAGTAAATGACAAGCTAGTTTCTTAAGGTATCAAGTACTATTCCTGGAAAAAGAAATTAAAAGAAGTTCCTTCAAAGGTAAGCAGATTACGCAGCACGGGTTCCATCTTCACTCTACTGAAAATGAAAGGAGATGACAAAGAGAATCCAGAAAAAAGAAGGAACACAATATGTAAAAAGATGGGTGGAGAGTACAGCACATAACTGTGATGAAAATTCTCACTTGGATAAATGCACAAGAATTCATTCTTATAATTGCCAAGAAAGAAAGTTGACAGTAAAAGCATTTGATAAATCAACAATTGGTTGTGTGTAACACATACTTGAGCCATCAACTCTTTATTGTATTCCCACTGTTCTATTCAAATACTTCATTGACCTTAGCTATGCGCTATACATTGACAGACAAATAAAACATACAACTTCAAATACTTCAGCGACATATCATGATATCACAGTAACAGTATCAAATACTTTCAGTGACATATGATAACACAGTAAATACTACCAACACAGTCGAAGGAAAGCCTTGACGTTGCTCTTGCGGTACTTAAAGAACTAACATAGTGGAAGTTTTTTATGCTCCTGTAACTAAATCTAATTAACCACAGCAATATAATTAGTAGAGTAGTCAATAGATAGGAGTGCAAGGAAAATGTTCTCAAACAAATGTCGTACACTTAACAGATCCTAAGTAAAATCAACTTCAGAAGTATCACGATTTTATTTTTATGGACGGACCGTGTTTTCACTAGCTATCTACTTATATCCTAATGCAGAATTACCACATTTTATAGCAAAAGGGACATTTGATGGAAGTGACATACATCATTACCGCAAGCACTGCCTTTCATGCTGTTAATGCACTTGCCTTCTCATGTCTTTAGATTGTGATCATTTGTCCCTGGACCAGTCCCCACTTTTACCTCCAGTTTTACGTTCAAGCCTGATATCTGTAATCTGGATATTCTTCGAAGCGGCCTTGCACATGTCATACACTGTTAGACTAGCAACAGTTACTGCTGTCAAGGCTTCCATCTCGACGCCAGTTTTTCCATCAGAGGCAGCTTCCCCTTCAATTTCAACACTGAATTCTTCAGGGTTCAAAGCCAAGTCCACTCGAACATGTGTCAAGTTGATGTTGTGACATAGTGGGATGAGATTGCTTGTTTGCTTCGCTCCACAAATTCCAGCTAATTTTGCCACACTCAGGACATCTCCTTTTCCCATTTGATTGGCTGAAACCAGATCAAATACCTTCTGTCCTAAAATAACCTTGCCACGTGCAACGGCCACTCTCTTGCTAATATCTTTAAGAGATACATCCACCATTTGGGCTTCACCTTTGCTGCCAATATGTGTCAATCCAGCAAACGATTTTTTATCATCCATTTCTACAGTACTAAGCTTCAAGTCTTGTGTCATACTTTGATTGTCAATGGAACCAGAAAGGCTAGAGGGAGGAGGTTCACCAAATACAGATTCCATTTCCTAGTAAGGAGATGAGCAAATTTTTCAGGAAGCTCCAGAAAGCATCCAACGCCATTTTACAAGACTCAAGCAAGAAAGCAAATAACTATCGTTAATAAAATAAAGTCGGTCACTACTGAGACAGCTCATAAAAGTTGTTTCAGGTTTGAGGGCTAATGCTATATCTCCCTCGTGAGTCATGAGCAATAATCAATTAGAATATGAGATTAAAAACTTAACTTCTTTTGCAAAATATAAGGCCAGAATTAAATATCCTTCCCTTTCCCACTTTTCTTAGTATGAATTCTGGTAAATTTTCAAGTCTCTTCTTTTACACTCTGCAGATTTACTCATTCTCAAAACTCTGGCTGCAAATAAGCAAACATTTTGACCAACTAACATAAATGTTTCATGCACAAACTCTGAGGTTTATTCTATAAAAGCTGACAAGAGGTAATTGGCCCTCTATCATTGATACCAACACATTCAACCCGTTAGTTGCCCAATGGTACACATGATGAGATTCCGGATAGATTATCTAAATCAATCAGCTGATTGAATTTTAAAATGTTTTCATCAGAAAGATCTCAAGCCTTTAAAGATTGAACTACCAGTTCTTTATACTGTTAATGAACCATAACATTCATGTAATAAGTAAGCACAAGCCTAAAGTCTCAAAAGAAAATTGAGAAAGTGTTGAAACAAAACTTTATTAGCTTCCGTTTGACCATATATTTTGAAGTTGAAACTCGCAACTTTGAGTTTTTAAAGTTGCGATTTTTAGAATTTGAAGTGGTATTTGGACATACATTTTACTCAGAAAAGATTTCAAGTTTTGTGAGCAAAAGCCCAACACTCCAAAAACTGATCTAAGACAGATTTTGGAAACCTGGAAAGTATTCTTGAAACCGATTAAATTTCATTACCAACAAATATTTGAAGATAAATGTAGGGAAAAGGGTTCGACTTCAACCGAAATTGCTGCGATATATAGTAATTTGTCCAAATAACACTTATATATCTTTAAAATACACTATTAAATAGTGCAGGGTTAATAAGTCTTGCCAAAGTTTGAAATTGTTAACAGTAATTTCAATCAAAGTTCAACTTTTTCCCAATAAATGTATTGTTAAACGCTAGCTAAGAAGTTGCTTATGGTATACCTGATTGAGCTCGGAAATAGCTTTAGACATATCATGGCTACTACCACTATTACTAAATAACCTTCTTGATAAAGGTAATGCTGTTCTTAATCCAACTCCGCGAGGAGAAAACATGACTATTCAACTGCTCCAACAAAAATCCTTAACTGCAATTACACAAAACCACAAAGAGCAAAGTCACATTTTGACATAAATATATCAACTTTCATTGAGGCATTTTCACAAACACTTTGACTACGTACAATACTTTGTAATACAAGACAACTACTCCATACAAGCTCGAAATGATTCTTGGGGTTAATGTAGAAACCAGTAAGTACAGAGAAAAATTAACCTGAGCTAGTGCCGGTCGTCGAGAAATGGTGAGATCGAGTTGCCGGAAAGTACCAATATAAAAATAGAGAAGCCGGAGAATTAGTATGATGTTTTGAATTTCAGTATTGAATATCAAGTGATTTCGTGTTATGAGTATCAAAATAGAAAACGTTGCCACATAAATTTATATTTAATGGAATTCTAAGTATAGAAGTTAAAAAAAATAAAAAATAAAGGGCAACTTTCACATATAACGACTAAAAAATTTATATTTATATGCTAAAATAAAGTTTGCATAATTGCGCTTCATATCAAATATAGAAACTGTATAAATCGCTATGCATATACGGTTAAAGCAAATTGTATAAAACGAAGTATATAAAATAAGAAAGAGAAAGACACTTGGCTAGAAAACTGTATAAAAACGAAGTGTATAAAACGAATTGTATTACTATATTATTATAAGTGTATAGAACGATTATATACAATTTGAATTTGTATAAAATGAGAAAGAGAGAAAGACAAAAGAGACTTGACAAGGAATATACAATTGAATCGAATTGTATAAAACGAGAAAGAGAGAAAGGCAAAAGAACCAATCAGGGGAGTATTTTTTGAAAATTGTATAAAACGAGAAAAAGAGAAAGACAAAAGAAACTGGGCAGTGGAGTATTTTTATTATATAATTATAAGTGTATAGGACGAAAACTTGCATGTGTATATACAATCTTCTCACGCTTTATACAAACAGAAACACAATTTATACATTTCGCTTCTATTTGTATAAGTGAGAAAGACGAGGGTAGCGAGCGAGATTTGAGAGAGTGGCAAGCGAGATCTGGAAGAGGAGAGAGAAGGTAACAAAAATGTATGTATTTATACAATTTTTATACACTTGTGTTTGTATAGAAAGTGAGGAAGCGAGCGAGAAAGTGGAGGAGAGTGGCGAGTGAGATATTTGAGAGAGAGGCGCCTAACAATTTTTTGCAAACGTTTGCTATGGAGCACAATTAAATCAAACCCTAGCTACTCCATTTATTTTAGATTAGTAGTTTGCTATTATATACAATTTTCCAAAAAAAAAAAATTTAAAATATAAATTTAGCTCACTAATTTAAATATTTTATTTTAATATATACTTCATTAAATTTAATTTATTCCTCGTAGGACATGAATTTATATAAAAATTTATGATTAAATTAGATAATATTGAACTTAGTAGATATTTTTTTAAAATATAATAAAAATTATCTAAAGAAATTAAGTCATAATTAAAAATATAGCATAAAAATTAGAAACAAAAATTATTATATTTTTTGTATTACTCAAACACTATAAAATTACTTTAAATAAACTATTTTGATTCAAAAGGCTCTATGTATTTGGCTTTTGGGATTAATATTTTGCTCAAGACATGAATAACATTTATTAACTTTTAGGACAGTTATTTCAACACAAATGGTTCTATGGTCTAGTGGTCAGGACATTGGACTCTGAATCCAGTAACCCGAGTTCAAATCTCGGTAGAATCTGTCCTTTTTTTCTTTTGTGTTTACGAAATATTTAAAGGATATTTTGTTCGGACTCTCTAAAAGTATTAGTTTGTTCAAGTTGGATTCTCTAGAAATGCATTATTTTTGAAATATTGAACTTGTATGGCATTTTTAGTAAGACCGACCAATATAGCAAATTAGCTTCTCGGATACCAAATATTTTGTCATTTTTCTTTCTTCTAGACTTCTCTAGAGTAGGGTGCCCTCAATCATTTTTTTTTTGTTTAAGAAACATTTAAAGGATATCTTACTCGGACTCAAAAGTATTAGCAAATTCAAATCGAGTCCTCCAGAAATGTACTACTTTTAAAGATTCAAAATGTATGACATTGTTGTTAAGATCGAGCAACATAACTATAAACTTCTTACATATCAGATATTGTGTCATATCTCTTTTCTTCTAAACTTTCTATAGAGTAAGGTGTCATCAATCATTTTTTGGGTGTTTTCAAGAAACATTTAAAGATATTTTGCTCAGACTTTTAAAAAGTGTTAGTGTATTCAAGTTGAATTTTCAAGAAATGTACTACTTTTAAAAGATTTCACATACACGACATTTCCTTTAAGATTTAACATGCATGACATTGTTGTTAAGATCGAGCAACATAACTATTAACTTCTTACATACCAGATATCGTGTCATATCTTTTTTCTTCTAAACTTTCTATAGAGTAAGGTGTCATCAATCATTTTTTTTGGGTGTTTTCAAGAAACATTTAAAAGATATTTTGCTCAGACTTTTCAAAAGTGTTAGTAATTCAAGTTGAATTTTCAAGAAATGCACTATTTTTAAAAGATTTCACATACACGACATTTTTTTAAGATTGAATAACATAGCTATTAGCTTCTCAGATATCAAATATCTTGTCATTTCTCTTTATTCTAATTACTCTATAGATTCTCACTGAAATAGTGAAAGATTTCTTGATTTTATTGTATGAAACCATTATTATTTTTTCTTCTTACCGAATCAATCAAAATATTTATCGTAATAACAACTAAAGGTTTTTCTGTGGGAATTTTTGGGTGGAAAAATAATAACTTTTTAATAGTCCAACGAATATAGTTATATGAGGTTGTATCAACAAATACAATTATATCAAGTATATCTATTTCTTGTGTATTCACTATGCTTTATCCAATGTATCTATTCCTTATGTATTCATTATGTATCACGTGTATCAACTAATACAATTGTGGAGTATCAATTTATATCAACCTTTGCAATCATATGTATCAAACACAATATGTTAAGATGAAGGAACACAATTTCTTAATTGAACAAGCTCCTACACTTAAATGTTGCCCATAAGATTAGATTTTTAAAGACTCCTAATTATCTTTATTGATCACTTCGGAAGAAGAACAAAAAAAATTACCCATATATAATAAGGCATCAAATTTTATATCGTACCATAAAATATCAATATAAATACACAGAGAGATAAAGAGAGTAAAAAATTTAGAGAGAGGAAAAGGGACGAGTAAGCAAGACTAAAGAGCATAAAAGGAGAGAATTACTATACAATCTTTAAGTATAATTATGTAATATAATTTTTAAATTATAGTTACACATAACAAATACAAAGAAAAAATTTACATTATTGTATAATTTTTTCCAATATTGAGTATAGGGTAATTGGTCCAGTGATATGGACTATCATTTTAAGTATAACTTACCTAAATTTCATAGTGTAATGACCTAAATTACATTCTATTCCTACTATTTTTTAATTTTAAAAAAGCTCTCAATATAAGTGTCATCCGGATACATAAGCAAACGAGCTGGATACATAAATTTCAATACATTAAAACAAATTCAGTTATACGGGAAGAGAATTTATTTTGAATGTGAGTTTCCCAAATTACATTCTATTCCTACTATTTTTTAATTTTAAAAAAAGCTCTCAATATAAGTGTCATCCGGATACATAAGCAAACGAGCTGGATACATAAATTTCAATACATTAAAACAAATTCAGTTATACGGGAAGAGAATTTATTTTGAATGTGAGTTTCCCAAATCACGCTAATCAATTTGATGTTAATCTCTCTCAATTGGTAACAACTTCAATCAATTCAAAATTCAAATTTTCTTCCATCAATTCCCTTCTAAATATTTAGTCAGATGCAAATTCTTTCAGAATCAACAAATTCAAATTTTTTTTTCTATTCATCGTCTCATGTTCATCAAATAATCATTCAAATTTGTCAAAAATTTGATAAGATGCATAATGAATACTAGTTGGACAAATAATTTTGTGTGAATCTCAAATTCACCATTGCAGTATATAGATGAGATGAGGAAAAACATGAAAATCCGATATATAGCAGAAGGAAATCATAGGAAAATGTTAATTATGTTGCTTGGCCTCCTCTTCACCCGATCTCGATCGTGGGCATCATAGTAGGAGCTAATCAAAAAAGTTACTGATCATTTCAATTTGTATTTCAAAATACATTAAAATCTAGTTAATGTATCCCAAAATTCTTCTTTTGATTCTTTCTAAAAAAATCTCAATTTTTTTAATTAAACTTGTCGACAAATTGCACTGATACAACATAAACATGTCGATCTTGTTGAGACATTTCAAAATATGAGAAAGTGAGGTGAGGTACGAATGATACAAAAGTGATGAAATTGTTGTTGGACAAAATATTGATTTATGAATCTCAAGTCAAACATTGCAATAAGTTGTTGAAAAATTTAAAGATCTAATACATCGTTGAGGTGAAGAAACAAGAGTTGGAATTTTCAATGTATTCATTATGCATTGATACAACAACCACAAATGCTAAAGAGAGGCATCACTTTGATTGATCATTCATACCATTTGTAATGTTACGTAGTCATTTTTTTGAATTTTGTTTTCGATATGGATAGATTTATAAATACATTACTATTTATGTATCTTGTTTAAATTGATAAATGTTGTATTTCTACTAGATACAATTAAATAAGTAATTGTTGTCCAGACAAATGTTAGGTTTGAGACCAACACATTACTTTGTGGTAGTTTATACATATTAGATACCATTAGTATAAATTCAATTTTACGTATCACGTCTAAAAAATTGTATATTCGCTCATGCAAAAATAGAATGTTGTGTATCCGATACAATATAAAGTATCATGTATCAGTAATATGATTTAATAGATGTAATATTATGTTCTATTGTGTATCAACTCATAATTTGTACAGTTGTGTATGATAAAAGTGTATTTGATATTATCACTATTTAAATGACAAAATATTGTGTACATGATCTTCAGGATCCTCTATATTGCCTCAAACTAAAAAAACTTTTGATTATAACATTTATGTATCACCATTTATGAATTCGATACATACTTGTGTGACACTTTCATGTATCATGTATTGTGTACAGATACATATCCTTTTAAATTTGAACAGGATAGAAGATGCATAGCAACACTTATATATATGATACATTTCGTATAAGGTTTGTATCAAGTATGAAAACTAATTAAGTTTATGCATCAAAACTAATATTTGCACACAATATATCGTGCATGATAAAATCGTAATGTATCGCAGTGTTGAAACAAAGACATTATACATTAATTTGAGAAACAAAGTTAACTAAATACATTTAAAATCAGTCAATGTATC